ATTTTTACCTCAGGTGAAGGTGTCAGACACAGAAAATTGAAAGTATGGAGTACTGAAATATTTTCAGAGAACTCAGTCCAGTAAGAATTGCTCATCTTGCAGACTGTGAAGACTTTGGGTTCCTCCACGTTTCTGTCTTGAAGCTAGCAAATGCATCTCCTACTCTTCAAAGTTTACAAGACTGGAAAGTATACAAGAGGCTATATTCTCACAGTCTTGGAGGAAAAGGCCTCTTCCACTCCACCAGCTTACATTTGGAGGTACTGATTGCCCTAGACCATTTCCTGCTTCCACAGGTGTATTGTTTTATTTATTTTAAGCACGTAAACTGAACTCAACTTTTATTAACTCACAGAACCATTAAAAATAAGGCCTTTCCAAAATGACTGAAGATAAACAACACCCATATATGAAACCCTGCAGTGAAGTGGAGAACAAGTCAGTGACTCCTGCCTGGGTAAGGCAGAACGGTGAAGGAGAAAGCCGAAGCTACTTTAAGCTGACCGTTGTTTTCTGAAAATCATTGGGCCTTAAACATACCCAGTCAGCGATGCCTTCTCTGTTCAGAGCTAGGAAAGGAAACTTTATGCTTTCTGGGCCAAAAAAATGCTCTTAGGTGCAATCATTTTAAAACAAACAAACACACTCTGCTTATCTGTGTCCATCTCGCCACTCTGGACGTTAATCATCACTGAAATAGATACCCCAGTTCCCCGGCCTCAAAGTGCTCCAAGCCTACGAGGCCCTGTCTGAGGAATGAATGTACATGCCAGGGCAAACACCTCAGAGCCTTGCTCCCTAAACACCTATTGTGAGTTCTAGGCAAATCTCTCACAGGCGAATGCAAGAACACCCAGGTATTGCTCAAAGAATATTTAAAATAAAATTCAAGTTTGAAAACATGTAGGGCTTAATTTGGAAGGAAGAGGATTAACTAAACTGTAACATAAGACTAGCAGAAGTATTTTTAAAAAACGGACTTACATACACAGATATACTTTTTTCTTTCCATTCTCTGCTCTTGTTAATTTTCAGTATCAGAATATTTACAGATAGCACCTTCGCTCTTGCGCCCATCATACTATCTGCATTCAGCCTCCATTATAAACTGACGGAGTCAAATTTCACTGTTTTATTTTTGAAGACTGGACTAGGTTAGTTTTCCCCCCATTCTAGGGAAAATTTAAGATTGCTATATGAAACATTTCCTTGATTTTCATATTACAGATATTTCCATTCTCCCAGGCTTTATAAAATCTTCAAACAATACTGATTTTAAACCAGATGACGGACTCAAACTGTCTATCTGCTTAAAAAAAAAAAGAAAGAAAGAAAACCTCAGGATACCTACTAGTGTTCACTGTTTGAGCAAGAGGCCTAAAGGGAAGCAAATTATTTGTTTGTGGTTTTAAAGTGGCCAAAATGCCTTCAAGCACAAGTATAAGACCATTAACAAATCACAAGGAACCAAAGCAGTTCATCTTACTCAACAAAGCTATGATCAGTTAGAACAGCCAAACTGAATGGGACTTGCCCTGGGCCGGAAGGTCAGCAAACCTCAGCAGTTTGTGTTTCTCAGAATCAAGAGGCTCTTCGGCAGGGCGCGCAGGTCCTAAGCTCATAGGCTCTGCTGTCATGTTTCCAAAAACATTCAGGGCAGGTGAGGGAAACTAAGCAGGGTGTATGTTTTCCCTCACCGCCTATCTTTAGGCAGCATCTCCCATTCCAACCACCTCCACATTTGATATATACAGACCGAAGAGAGGAGAAGCCAAGCAATTGAGAAGTTCCATTTTACAACAATTTGAGTGCCTACTATGTGCTGGGCACTCTGCTAGCACTTACACATTTAAGTTTCATTTCACAAGATAATGTTACTCCCATTCTTTATAGATGATAAAACTCTGGTGCAGTGAGGTTGCGTGGCTTCTGATAAAATGAAGTTTTGTGCCATGCCTACACAAACTCATCCCACTGATTAGCCCCAGGCCTGAGCTGCAGCCCTGCCCCTGTCCAAGCAGCCATACCCTCCCTGAAGTTTGGGTCCTGGCACCTTCATGCCAGAAGAGGAACGGGGTGCATGCCATCTCCCTCCAGGGATGACAACCACCGCTCTTGGTGGCTTATCACATCTCTGCAGCTGTCCAGAAACAGACCACACTGGTAAACACATCTCCACCTGCTCTAACACATATTACTTCTCCCCTCAGCTCAGAAAACACAAACAGTGACCTTGCTCTTTATCAAGTGCTCTGATAGAACAACTTCCCTAGAAGTTTGAAGATACCCCATCCTAGGACACAGGTAAAAAATCAAAAAAACACATGGCGAATAAATAATAAAGCCATATCACTTTGCAGTCTCAAAGCACTATAAATAAGTTTATACTATACGTGTAAACTCATTTTTATTTCATTACTATTGCTTATAGAACACACACTCATTCCCATTAGCTCTCTTTTAGAGCACTTGAAAAGGAAAGAAAAATAAACATCAATTCTTGCACTCATCCATTCAATCTCTATAAGGAGAGAGAGAAAACCAAACTATGTGTTGGCTGGCTTGGATTCCAGTCATTGTAGCCAACTTCTCTTACAAGTCAACTGATACATTCTCTGAAAGTTTTTCTTCTAAGAAATAAAGGCAACCAGGCTACATCCCCCCAAAGTCCCAGAGAATCATTGTCATCGACAACAAAATTGTACTAGAATTAATAAAAGTTAAACAAAATGATCAAGTTCAAAACTTACAAAAAATCTTATACATCAATAATATCCAACTGGAAAACATACCAAAAAAAGATTACATTTATAATAAAAACAAAATGCATAACATATTTAGGAATAAGTAAAACAACAGGTGTGTGGGAACTTTATAATGAAAACCACAAAAGCTTTTGAAAAGGCACAGAATTTATTCTTGTTTGGGTGGTTGAGTGGAAATAGATATTTCTCTCTCTCACACACACATATACACACACACACAAATCCAACAAGGATAATCTAATCCTAACAGGTATTAGACCCTATCAAAAAAAACAACAATATTTAAAATAGTATGGAAATGGAAAAATGTATCAGTGAGACAAAATAGAGAGGAGAGTTCATTAATATTTGACAAAATAAGTTTCCTAAAACAAAGGGAAAGACAGGAATTATTTAACAAAATGTATAGTGATAACCAGGTAGCCATTTATAAAATAAGAGTTTAACTCATCCTGTGCACATGTGAGTGATGTTGATTAAAGTGTTAACTATTCTAAAAAATCAAATTATAAGAAAACCAGTAGCTGTTGAAAGAGAAGATTTTTCAGGCCTGTAGAGGAGTTATAAATTTCTCAGATTTGGGGGCAAAAAAATAAATCACAAAAGACTGGTAAATTCTGATATACAGGGGTGGACAAAAGCAAGTTTACAGTTGTGAATAGACAAAACACAGAGTTTATTCTTGTATTATTATTTATTAATTATTATACTATTTCCATACAACTGTAAACCTACTTTTGCTCACCCCTGTATTTGAGTGTAAAACTTCTATAGGCTAAAAACAGTAAAGTAAAAAGAACTGGGGAAAAAAACACTTGGATCAAAGATGACAAACTATAGCCTAATATCTATAACCCACAAGGATTCCAAATTTACAGGAAAAACATTAAGACCCCAATAATAAATGGGCAAAGACTAAAAACAGACAATCTCACAGGTGAAACACACATATGGGAAAATATTTATCCTGCTCAGTGGTAAAAGAAATACAAAATAACAAAACATTTAGATACCACTATGCCCCAAAATAGCAAAGATTTTTAAAATTTTCGCATTCATTGCTGGTGCCACGGTGACTTGGTATGTCTTTACAAACTACAACCTTTGACCCAATGCCAATCTTGAGAATTTACCCTAAGTAACTAATTCAAAGAGATATGTATTAGATGGTATGTGACTTATATTTCCACAGAGCTGCCACCAAAAATAATTAAAATACTCATTTCATTGTTATGTATAGTGGTAAAAAGCTGGACATAACATAAACGTTTAATCTCATTATGGTACAGCCCACGAACATTATGTACCTACTCTGATAGGATCAGTTAAGATTGCAACTAAGAAGTGTGTGACTGCAAAGTAGTTTTTAAAAATCAATAGTTGTCTAGAGGTGGTGGCATTATAGCTTTTTATGTTTTCAAGACTTTCTTTAATGTTGTAACACTATATTAGAGCTACCTTTCTTTTAACCCAAACTGGATGGAGTTGAGGGCAATCTGAAAGCTTCTGCTCCCCCAATTCTATGCGTATTTCTCCCTTCTATTTAATAGCTTAAGTGATTCAAAAAGTTGTTCATTCACAGCTCTCAGATCCTGCTAAGAACAAGCTAAATTGCAATACCATGTCCTTACACACAGCCTAAACCTGACCCAACCTCCTGCCATAAGCAGGCACTCTTTTGTGTGTTGCTCTGCCTGTATCATGTTATAAACTAGAGGTGCCACTTGGACCAAGGGCCTCCTTTTCAGGTCTGGGCCCTTTTCTCTATATTCGACTTTATCTGAGCTCTCAAGCCTAGCAACCTTTAGAAGAGGGTGAAAGGATGAATGTCCACAAAACGTTCAAACAGACCACACAGTGAACCTGAGTCCTAGACTCGGACTAGAGGAGGCCTCCAAAGCCACAGACCAGCCGGGCTCTCTGGAACTAAGGAGCTCCGCGAGTCAAGGTCCGTGAAAAGACAGTTAAAAACTGAAGGGAGTGCTTAAGATGGCTAATTGTGAGGAGCCGCCCATGGGGAGGGTGCAGACTGAGGGATGCTCTTGGGAGGCTTCCTCGGGTGGGGACCTCCAAGAAAAGAAGGGTGCTAGGGTAGGGGTCTCGACAGAGGCCGGGTCAGAGCCACGGAATTCGGGGTGCGACACGGCCCCAGGCTGACCAGGCCGCGGCGCCCCGCCCTTTCCCGGGACGCGGGCCGGCACGGGGCGGGGAGCGGGCGGGCGAGCGGGCGCTTACAGGTCGGTGCCGAGCCGCGTGAAGCCGGAGTTGAGCGAGGCCCGGGCTATCCGGCGCCAGAGCAGGTCGCAGCTGGTGAAGCGCCGCAGCCAGCGGCACACCTGAGCCAGGCGGCCGAGGGCCCGCATGTCCAGGTAGGAGCAGATGAGCAGCAGCAGCTCCTCTGGCAGGCGCCAGAGAGCGGACCCCGCAGCTGGGCGGCCCGCCGGCTCCCGAGCCGCCGCCTCCTCCTCGGCCTCCGCCACGGCCGCCCCTGCCCCCGCGAGGCGGCCCCAAGCCTCACCCCCTCGTTCCTGTGCTCTACCCGGCCTTGCATCCTCTCGCCGCCCAGTCCTAACCCTCCATTCCTCGTTGCCATCGTCTCTTCCTTTGGCCTCCTTCCCTGCCTCCGCGCTCCCCTCATCTCCCCTTACGATCCTTCTCGCCCCTTCCTCCACGCTTCCGCTTCCCTCTCCTTCCTCCCCCCGGCCTGCCCTCGCTCCCGCCTCGGCTCCCAGCCCCGCTGCCTCCTTTGCCAGTTGCGGCTCCCGCTTCCCTTCCGCCCCGCTTCCTCTTCCGCCTTGCCTCGCTCCGGCTTTTCCCTTCCCCTTCCTTCGCTTCCTCCTCGCGACCCTCCCTTCCTGCAGTTTCCTCGCGTCTCCGCTCTCGCCCTCGCCCTCGCCCTGCCCGCCGTTCCCGGGGGGTCCCAAGCGGCCCTGGCTGCTCATGAGCGGCCGCGGGGCCGGCCCGACGCCAAGGCGAGCCCCAGCCGCCGCCGCCGCCGCCGCCCTGGGAGGAGGTGACACCATGTCGGACCGGGTCACATGGGGCGGAGCGGGCCGAGACCTGGGCCCGCCCCTCACATTCGCGGCCGCGGTACGGCTTCGGGGTTCTAGCGCGAGAGGCGACCTCCGTCCCCCGTCCCTGGGCCGTCTGGAGCATTTGGTGCAAGCACATGCCCTCATTCGTCTAGCACGTGAGGCCCACTGAGAGCCTGGCCACAGGCCACACGCCAAAGGAGCTTCAGCCTTCAAGAAGCAGCTAGTTGGAACTCCCGCCCTCAAGAAGCACCCACCCACTTGGATGGCTTGAGAGCTCTCTTCTTCGGGTGATGCCTCCTTTCCACAAGCTGCATACCAGCGCCCCACAAACTGCAGACCCCCTCAAGTTGGCAGATTCTTTAACCCGGGTTCTCACACAGGGTACGAACCGTCGTCCTGGCAGTGAGCTGGTATTTTTGACATTTGGGGAGGTTTGCAGTCATCTAGACCCTGAATAACCTCTAACTCCCCAGTGCATCAGTAAATGGCAAAGCTAGGGCTCCTTATTAGTCACCACCCACACGCAAGTGGACTCTCCAAGGTCACCCATGAGCCCTTCCCCACACCACCCATTCCCTTCACAAGGGCACCAGTCTGAAGGGAGAGCTAAGAAAAACCTGAAGTCCAGACAAGATGGCACACCCCACCCACCTACCCACCCCCAGTGACCCGTGGCTACTGGGCATTTGAAATGTGGCTAATCCAAATTGAGGTGGACCATAAGTGTGAAATACACACCAGATTTTGAAAACTTGTACAAAAAAAGAATGTGAACTGTCTCAATAATGTTATTTTAATTACACGTTGAAGTGATAAGATTTTGATACATTGGACTAAATAAAGTATATTTTAATGTAACTACAAGAAAATTTAGAATTATACATGTGACTTACATTTGCAGACTGCATTATTTTTCCATTGGACAGCACTGGCTAGACAGTAACATTTGGAGGGGAAGGAAGAAAACACCTATTCTTGTCTGTATCCTGTACCCCAAATTCTGATAGGACGGATTTGAGGGGTTTATTTTGTATTTCCATCTTAAGACTCCTTTTCAAGTAGCAAGAATGAACGAGAAATCAACTCTGGAAATTATTCAACACTTCAGCATAGCCAAGGAGAGACCTAGGAAGCAACTACATTGCATGCATTATGGTGTTGCAGAAGCATCATGTAACAAGGTCAGACCGGAATCTGGCTTTGCCCTAGAATTACTTTTTGATCTTAGCAAAACAACAACAAAAAACCCCACCTATCTTGGCTTTTTAGTGTTCTCAGTCTGTAGCGGAGATAATGCCTCTGCCTTACTTTCGAGGGATAAATGAGATGATCCCTGTAAAATGCTTTGAACTCTGCTAAGAAATTTCTCAATAATAGTTACAGGTCAAATCCTGTTACAAAAAAAAAAAAAAAAAAAAAAAACCTCTTACAGAAGAAAAAGGCATTGTGTAGAAAAAGATTTCCAAACTCCAGCCAGTGGTTTACTTATTAAAAGAAATATTGATATGACATTTCAGTATACCTAGAGAATTTACACCATCTCTTTGAGATCATTATAAAGAAATTTACTTATTCATAGTGTTAGAACACTACGAGGTAGGAACTCTGCAAACTGAGATCATGTCGTCATCAACTCAACAGTTACTGATTTTGCTACCTGGGTGTACTGTGAGCGACCCTGGAAGGAAGACAGAAATGACTACAGCATATGATTCCTACATTTTGTGTCCAGATTTGTGTTAGACATGTTTGTAATTTCCTACTGTTTGGCTATTTTTTCTTAAAGATTTTACTTATATTTTTTTTAGAGCGAAAGGAAGGGAGGAAGAGAGGGAGAGAAACATCGGTGTTTGAAACATCGATTGGTTGCCTCCTGCACACCCCCAGCCATGGATCTGGCTCACAACCCAGACATGTGCCCTGACCTGGAATCCAACCAGTGACCTTTTGCTTTGCTGTATGATGCCCAACCAACTGAGCCACACTGGTCAGGGCTTATTAAAAAGTTTTTAAATTTTGCATATTGATAAGTAAACTGAAAACATTGGACTATTTTAAACTTAGGATGCAAAAAACATGGAACTCATATAGGGTGGGGCAAAATTAGGTTTACAATTGAATGGAAAATAATGCAATAATTAATACATAATAATACAAGAATAAACTAATTTTGCCCCACCCTATATTAAAACTCACTATCAATTTTATACTATTTAGGAACACTAATACTGTATTAGCTTACTTTTACAGGCGTAAAGTCCTTTGTGTATGTCCATGTAAATAACATGCATAGTATTGAATATTACTGTTAATAATAGTATATAATGTATGTCTAGGATTGTAAAAAGGCTAGAATTTTGTGTTCTCTCCATTCTTAAAAACATAGGTGACAAACTCAGATGTGAGCTGTTCCCTTGTCTAGTACTGCAGTGTCCACATACCCATTGATTAAGCCCTCAGGCCCAAGCCTTTAAAAATACGCAGATTTAACAGGGGAATTATCCTGAAAATGAATGAAAGAGAAAGATTATATTGAGACTGACAATTTTCAATGTCATACATTTGTTCTGATGCTCACCATTATTCTTCTGTAATAATAGTTTATGTTTATTGAGCACTTACTATATATCAGGCACTATCATAAAAGCTTTTCAGTGTTGTCTCACTGATTCCTAACAACAGTCACAAGAGGAAGATACTATTAATCCATGTTTTGTAGAAGATAAAGCTGAGGCCTACAATCACATGGTTCCTGAATGGCAGAGTAGATATTAAATCCAATCTAACCCCAAAGCTTGTATTCTGAACCATGCCTTCACATAGAGCAGAAAGCGGAGTAAGGCATTGAATTCAGGGTTCTCTAAGATTTCTTACAACTAATAAAGACACACCTAATAATACTGTACCTCTGACTATCAAGCAGTCTAGTATGTAAATAAAAGCTATTTCTAAGCAATTAAATTAGTTCCTGTTCTTATTTCAGTTACTTTCTAGGAGTTAACCATGTAGACTTACCTCAATGCTTGCTTTTCATAATCTTTAAACATTTGTAGAAACTATCTTGCAAAGGAACATTTAACTGAAGTTTAGTAATTCCTTCATTTTGCTTAAGCTTCAATTTCTTCTGTTAAGTTTAAGTAACAATGTATGTATGGCATGTATTATATGAGCCCTTTTATAACTTTTTCCCTACCTATATGTATGCGTGTGTATGCACACACATGGAGATTTTGTAGAATGATGTTAATGGTTATTTCTAGGTCATAGAATTTTTGGATTTGACTTTGTAATGTTTTGTATTTATTTTTTATAAGAAGCATATATCACCTTTATAAAATTAATAAAATCTCTCAAAAAGAAAAATAGAGGTGCTGTGAATCCAAACACACCATGCAATAGAAGAATTTGATATTTGAAGATTAGATCATTGTCAGAGTTTTTATCTAGGCACCTAAGTTTCTTCAAACTTTGCTTATTCCATTTAAAATGTGTATCATGTAACAGTAAAAGAAAGAACAAGTTAGCATATTAGAAGAAACAGGAGGCCTAACAGTGAATGCCGTATCTGTAAACATTTGAGCAAGTCATAAGTGGAAGGGTAGAGTCTAAACTGGTGTTTTCAGAAGTTATCAGATTTATAGTTTATATCCTGAAATTCTATTAGAAACACCATCAAGATCTTCTCTTTCTGTGAATCCACTATCTGTCATATTGAAAATATAAAATATTTTTATTTCATATGAAACAAATTTAAAGTATATACTGTTTAAAAATAGCTACTTTATGCAGAAAAAAGTGGAAGGAAATATGCTAGAATGCTAGAAATGGATGCTTATCACAGGTGGAATTATGGGTAGTTCTTTCTGCTGTTGCTTTACACTTGTCTGCATTTTCTAAGTTTTCTGCAGTGAGCATGTATTACACAGATAATCAGTATTTTAAAAAAGGGAAAAAAAAAAGCCTAAGAGGTGTTTACACCTAAAGTATTAGGAAACTAAGAAATAATTTAAGTTAATTAAGCTAGTTTATTTTAATATTTTAAAAGTTCATTTTACAAATCCCCCATGCAGAAGAATTCCAAATAATTTATGTTAATATTCACCTTCAAGGAAGTAGAACATAAGTCCACCACAACACACACACACTCTCTCTCTCTCTCTCTCTCTCTCTCACTCTCTTTCTCTCTCTCTCTGGCTAAATATAATGACTTCCTTCCAAAAAATACAATATGGAAAGAGGGAGAAAGAGTAACTTTACAGTGGAAAAGGCTGACAAACACTATTTCAGCCAGGTGATCAAGTTCAACAATTACCCTTGTTAGGGTGACGGTACCTTACCTCTGTGGTCCTCCTCCCTAAAACTCATAACCCCAGCCTAATAATGAGAAAAACATCAGACAAATCCCATTTGAGGGATGTTTTATAAAACTACCTGACTAGTACTCCTCCAAGGTCATCAAAAACAAGGAAAGTCTGAGAAATTATCACAGCCAAGACAAGCCAAAGGAGTCATGACAAGTTAATGCAATGCAGTAACCTAGAACAGAAAAGAGAAGGACATCAGGTAAAAACTAAGGAAACCTGACCTGTCCATTATTGATAGATACAAATAACCTGCACTAATGTAAGATGTTGATAATGGGAGTACATGGGACCTCACTATACTGACTTCACAATTTTCCTGTAAATCTAAATCTGTTCTACAAAATAAAAGTTTTTTAAAAGTTCACTTTGGCCTTTTGTGACTTAGAGAAAATCTTTTCAAAAGTTGTGATGCACATGAAGGCAGTGTGTTTCCTGAGTTATAAGGATTCATGATATCTTGAAACCCTGTCCTGTCTCCCCAAATGCAAAAGAAAGAGTTAAACAACATAACGTAAGTCATCTCTGACAAAAAGCAAACCACGACTTAAGGTTTCTAGTTATCCAAATTAACAGCTGTACTAGAAAGATTCGTTTTCCAAAGGGTCAGACATCATTCCAAGATACTATCCTGACTTTACAACTGTGAGAAAACAGACATTTTCAAGCACAAATTT